TCAATATCAGACAAAAAGGGCACTGGTGACAGTCATTCGGTAATTTTATAAGTACAAATTGAAAAGGATGAGGTGGATGTGTATACAATTTCAACTGGAATAAAGTGGTGAATAGTTTTAGCAAATTCTCTTTGTATTGATTTACCGGAACAGAGTGGAAATGAGTGGTAGTAATGATAATGGTGATGATGATGATAATGAAGAGGATGATAGTATTAATGAATCAAATCAGTTCAGGTTGTGCTGTTGTTGATGCAGAAATAATGGACTTGAGACTAGTGTTGATGGTAAATGGTTTGAGTTACTCTTTCTGCTTACTAATTAGTAATTGCCAAGAGGCAGCTAACTGTAGTCTATCTCATCGGTTCAAACTGTCTGAATTCATCCAAATATGTTGGGCTTCGACTGTCGGTCTTTCTTGATATGACCAAAACCTTTTTGTAGAACCTTAGTTTCGTCGAGAATTGAAACGTTTAAATCAATCAGTTGGCAAAGGAGAATATCTGTTTATTGAAAAGACTTCATTTTTAACATGAAACAAGTATTAAACACGCCAATGTACCATAACAGCAAAGAGTTTATCAATTGTTAAAATATACATGTAAAAAGAAGCCAGGCATTGAATGAAAAACTGCAGATGGAACACTAAAAACAAAAGAAAAAAACTCTTAGGATCATAATCCTGTTTCGGTAACGTACACTTTTGTTTATAATACATGAAGTTTAAAATGATGAATTTCACGTTATAAAGAAAACAAAGGATACTTTATATATATCAATAAACTTTATCTATTATTAATATTATCATTAGTCAGTATACTGAAAAAGAGACAATTAAGCTACCTTAGATATAGATACTCTTAACCGAATTCAACCTTTGTGTAATGAAGGAGAGCTATGATTCATTGGTGACTTCGAACCCCGCTTCACTTATCAAGATTTAGACAGCCAAATAGTATCACTAGCCCTCACATAATAGGTGTAGCTTATGGTCTAATGTATGATTGTGTACAAAGCTGCTGAGTGGATTTCGATTTCGTGATGAAGGAGATGCTTTTAGAACTGTGGTTCTCGGCTTTCAACCAGTACGTCATGGATTCGAATATCACAAACTCTACCTACCTCACTTTTCATTTTCGCAGCCAAGCAGTATAATCAACCCTGGCAAATAAGGTATAGCTCGCTATCTACCGTACATTGATGGATTTAAAATTTTATTTTGAGATGTCTACGAGTAGAACGAGAATTACATAAGTGAATCCCACTATTAGATAAAAATTGTTGTTCGGGTACTAAGAAGAAGCGTTTTACAGAATGAAAACTAGGCTTGCTTAGTTTTTTAATCTTTCTTGACCAGTCCATTTTTATTACCAATAATAATAATAATAATAATAATAATAATAATAATAATAATTCACTTTATTCCAGACAATTTGTGGTACAATTTGGAATTCTCAGCGTAATATATATTGTAATAACAACAAAATATAAGTATATACATACTACTTTGCAGCCTTTCGAATTGTTTTGTTATAAAAATTTGAGTAATGTGAAGAATATTAAAAACGAGAAAATTTTGCATTGTAAGTTAAATTATTGAAATGAGATTTTTAACTGTCACAAAGTTGATGTGTGACTTCTGTTCTAACACTTTTTTCCTCACAAAATATACGTGCCAGGTAAGGTACAGTCGAATTCTTATACTTAGCTGTACGAGCATACAGTCTGATGTAGTTTCTCCTTGTCCTCCCTGAGGAGATACATGGAGAGAGCTGTAAATGAAGTGGATGCTCACTGTCAGTTAAAATTTCTGTAGCTAGTTGCTTGTAGGAATTTATATGTCTATCAACTACAGTGTTAATCAGTTGAGTCAGAGGCACACCACTCACCCTGCTGACGGCCTTCAAAGCCCTACGCAATATAACATAGTCCTTCTTAAGAAGACCAGGAAAGATTAATGGGGAACAATATAGAATAGGTAAAATGCAGGAATTAATAAATTGTAAAAGAAGCAGTTGAGTTATACCAGAAAGCCTCAGTAATAAGTTAAACGAAAGATTTCTTTACAAGTCAATAAAATATGGGACGATTTACTTTCTGCAGAAATACCATTGATGCAGCAGGCGTCATGAGATTTAAGCAGCTCACATAAGTCTTCTTTACGCCTGAGGCTAAAATTAACGGTCTGACATTTAGAGGGGTTTAGTTTGAGACCATTTACCAACTTCAGACAAGAATTCATTTAATTTCGAGCAATCCAAAAAAGAGTTTACTGGAATAGAAATCGTCAGCATACTTGATAAAATTAGTTTCAACAGAATAAGGCAAATCGTGCAAAAAAAGGAAAACAGAAAAGAAGGTACAGCACCTTGAGGCACACCAGCTTCAGTAAGCAATGAAGTGGAGCGCATCCCTTTATGAATAGTGTACTGTTTCCTTTCAGAAAAATAAGAATGCAGCCATTTTGTAACCCACGGATCAGTGTGAGCTATGGCAAGCTTTTTTAACAAGGTACGGGGACTATCTTAATATCTTTCCAGTCAGCTGGCATGGTGTTTTCTAAAAACGACCTACTGAACGTGTTAGCTAATGGATGGCATAAAATATCAGCACACTTCGTGAATACGAAGCTTGACATACTGTCCGGACCTGCACTGTGTGAAGGGTTCAGGGATTTGAGACATTTGAAAACATCTTTCGTGGTGAATTCTGGACAACATTCTTTATTGAATATAGGTAAACAAAGAAGGATGGGACATGTGGGTTGGCGTATAAACGATTTGTTCTAAGCACAGGCGTCAACAAGTGCTTCTTTACTAAGGTGTTTACTACCAGTGAGGTCTTTAAAAAGTTTCTACATGACGGAAGAGCCACTGAATGACATGAGTTTCTGGTTATGTAGTAAACCAACCTAATTAAAACTTTCAATTGACGAGCACCAGCCTTATTACTTACTTTATATAGTCTTTCTTTTTCTCTTCTTAGTTTCTTAAACTGAGGAGGAGGTATACGATTGAAGCGTAGAAACATTTTTTAATTGGTGCGACAGGTATCCAGGAAGAACATATCCCACAATCAATAGTGCCGTTCAAAACATCACTGTCAAATATATTCCAGTCTGTACAGTGTAGCCTTTCTCTTAGATTAAGTATGTTACTTAGTGAATAGTTTCTATGTACAATCTTCTTATATATGAAAGCTATTTTGTGTAGTTTGCCATATATTTTGGGCAAAATACGTATAATATAATGATCTGAACTGAACAGTGGGGATCTCTTTCGAGTTCCATATATATCAGTATTATTGATGAATACCAAGTCTAGTATTGCATCCACATGTGTTGTGAAGTTAACAAGGTCTTGATAACCGAGAGTTTTGAGAAAGCTTTGATCACAAGAATTGAAATCACCGCATATTATCGACAGGGAACCACAGAGTATAGGGGTTACGAATTTTCTGAATATATCAGAGAAGTTGGATAGTTTGGAGAAACTGCAACCAGGTATCACATACATATTTGTTATATAAATAAAGTGATATTTGTTCAAATGTTTTGGGCGGCATTTTACAGTGATGCAATCTATGTAGTCATTTAAGAATTTGAACCATAGGTAACTCGAAATATACCAATGAGTATTGATGAAGGTAGCTACTCCATCTCCACTTTTTTTTAGTAGAGCCACATAGATCCTGACGGAAAATTTTAAAATCATTCAGATAAATCAGATTGTCATCATAAAGTTCATGTAACCAAGTTTCTTGCAGTGCAATTACTCTAGTATTACGGTAAACATCAGAGGATATAAGCGATTGTAAGTAATCCACTTCTCCCTGCAGTTTGTCCTAGCAAAGGCTTCAAGTGTTTGACCACCGTTGCCTTCGTAGTATAGGACGTATTCCGTGGTGTCACCATGTGAGTAATGCAGAAGTCAGGTGTAGAGTTTTGGGGAGAAGAGGTAAGTCAGTTGACGAGGTTGTGAACCTTCATTGACTGAGATGGTTGGGACACGTACTGCGTATGCCTAGTCGCCGTCTACCTCGTCACACAATGTTGGCTGAGGTGGGTTCAGGCTGGAAAAAGGCCCGAGGTGGCCAGACTAAAACATGACACCAATGTATGAAGTCTCTGACTGTTGGTTTAAGCTATGTAGGACGATGTAGACTAGGTGGTTGGGGTCCACGGGACAAGAGGAATCAGTGGTTGGAGACCCTAGGTGATATGGCTCAGAACCGAAGTCAGTGGCGCAGATGTATACACACATTATCCTCATCTTAACAACGCTATACCGAATCTCACCATTTTGTCACTCCTCTTTCCTTTTTCCTCGTACTTTATATTTTTTTTGACTGCATTCACTTATCTTCATTCTTCACCTCACTACCTTTCTACTTGATGAACTGACGTGAGGTGTGGCAACTCGGACCGTTACGCAGTAATGCCTGGTCCTATGTTGATAATGATGATGATGATGAGCAAAGGAATTCAGGATGCACATTTCGTCCCATTTAGAAATCACTAGTCAGTTGGATGTACCTAAATCCCAGTGTGAGTGTTGTTCTCACTTAAACTCGAACCTCGTACACATCACTTCAGACGCCAAAAAACATTATCCATTAGGCCACTTAAGCAAAATAGACACCTGGAACAATTCAATCTAGTAAAACAACAAAGAACTACAAACATATCAACAAATAGTAATACTTTTGTATTCTTTATACTAATAACACAGTAGTAATTCTGAAAAAAAGTATGCCTGAACTCTAAAGTTTTCTTCAATCCAATTCTTTCATTTTGTTTTATATATATATATATATATATATATATATACAAAGTCTACAGCCTCAACTCTCTCAGTCGAAATCAACTTTATAAAGTCCCTTCATACCTCCTAATTTACAACACAACGAGATGTCGAGTAAAATATAAATGAATTTTATTCCGAATTATATACAATATAAAGTTTATCTAAGGGAAAAGAATCAGTAAATCCTTATATCACAAACGTGTTCCCTTGTTAACAGTAATCCAACCATCCTTATCTGGTGTTTTACTAAGTTCTATACGCTTCTTGAAATAATTTTGTAAAATCATCTCGGAATCATTTTTTGCCTTCTGATAGTCTATTATCCATTCAGGATTTCGATTTAAATAACTTTCTGTATGATAATAAAAATATATTAATTTATTACGAAATTGTAATACATACCAGGAATATCAATACTTGTCAATTGGAATTGATAAATTTTATTCATTGGAGTTGATAAAATATTTTCTATACACTCTAATTTATCATATTCGAAAAGAGCTTGAGCTTCAGGCTAATATTTTTCTCTTTACTAAGACGTTATGTAATCAGAATACTTACCGGAGAATAACGTAGACTAGTTACTTCACCGAATAATTTAAAAAAATTGAACAGAGACTTCTGTAAAGTTGGTTTATAATGAGTTATACATCAATTTTACCGCATCCATTAAAGGGTGGACATTATAAATGAGAATAGATTTCTTCTTTAATTTCTTGGCATACATGTAATGAGTCAGACCTTGTCTAAGATTTACAGGGATAACTGTAATTATGAACAAGAAACAAAAAAAGAAAAGGTAGCATAGAGAAACACTGATGTAAACAAAGTATGTAAAGAATTGGTAAGAAATGGCTTCTGTACATGGGTAGAATGTAACTTCATCTGATACAGGATACAATAATACAGTATTACTTACTTGATGACGTCTCCAGCATAGATTATTACTCGTAACCATATCAATCAATGTCATCACACAGCCTTCGACATCTGATTTTTATAGTCCTATCATCTCATATTCTTTGTCTTTGGTGGTAAGTGTTAGAGAGTAGAACGAAGAACACATGGTAGTTTAGAAACTACTGTCTGCAATAAATCGACTAGACGACTTGAAGTCATCTCATTCAATGTCAGTTAAGGCAAGTTTAGTCAAATGTCTAAATGATAGAGCTACAAAATTGACTAGTCAGTGCAAAGACCTAAACAGGGAACTGAAATACGTAAAAAAAGAGCTAATAGTTAATGATTATCCTCCATAGTTTGTTAAGAGATTCATACGAACACATATGAAAGGAAACAACGACATTAATGCGAATACGAATAATGAGGGTGACACGAGTAGAAAGGAAGGAGTTCACAGCCTCGATTGTGTTACCCTGTAAGGAAGGTACATCAAAAACTTTACGTGGAATTCTCAACAAAGCTGGAGTGGCATTTAAATCTACAAACACACTAAGGGATAAGCTTTATCGGCCTTAAGGATTCGATCGAACCAATTGAGCAAAACAGAATTTCATGCGATGACAATCAGGTAAAGTATATAGGTCACACTAGCCGATAGGGATCAGTTAGACGATAGGAACATAGGAATTTAGTTAAATATAGAATGACAGACCCCAATAGAATTAACAATCTAGAAGAGAAGTCGGTTATGGCAATGCATGCAATAACACACAACCATAGGATAGGGTATGATAAAACAAATGTACTTAAGTTCAACACAGGTGGAGAGGGAGAGAGAGAGACTGAGTACTCAATTCTTCTTCACCGAATCAACATTCAACACACATAAAAAAGGGAACGGCGTAACACCTGTGTACAAGAGATGTGGAAAATTCTACCATCCCTAAAAACAGAGAATATCGGGTGATAGGACTATAAAAATCAAATGTGATTAGACTGGTACGATTGTTACAATATTATAACACTCTGTGCTCTATCAAATAGACAAATCTAATATGGAATAGTGCAATAGTGACACATGACAATATGATAAAGCAATAAAGATTAATATATGTGCGACTACTTCAAATAATAAATGTAATTCACTAAACGCCTATAGGTCCGGGTAGAAGGTCATAAGCTACTTGTCCAGCTTATTAAGTATTCACTATAGATGAGATAAAAAAAAGGTTAATTCTGAGTATATCAATCAAAAAGTCGTCAGGTTCGTCATTATGTTGCGTATAACTGTCAGAATAAAAACAACTAATTGGCGTAGGTTTATTTTGTCATGTAGTGCAAAAGATTACCAACCAGATAAAGTGAACTGAAACAGTTTAGGTGGTAACTTAAAAAGATGTAAGCTTAATAAGAGACAACATATCAAACCTACCGGTTAGATCTTGAATTATCAAAGCTTCATCCATTTTTCTTCAGAGAATATAATCTGAATATATGCGTATTGTATAATTGTTATGAACTGTGAGAATTCCAGAAATGTGACTGATAACAAGGTTCTAGAAAAGTAGAAGAATGAGATTTTGAACAAAATCGTAACTGGTAAATTTTAATGTTTAATCTAACTTTCGATTTATGATAGTTAAGCGTCTTATTGATAAGTTTTAAAGTTTTATACAGTTGAAAAAGAGATAAAATTCCCCTGTTAGAAACTCATTAGTCAGTACGCGAAGGATAAGCTGGAGGCATTGGGTCGTACGACTTTACTTGCTTCTGCGGAGGTGAGTACATCAACCGTGTCATATGCCAGCTTATGCAACGCACTCGCCAGTACTACCCAACGTGGCAGACAAGAAAAGAACGGAAATGCATCTTTAGCTGTGTAACAAAATATATAATAAACTCACGACATTTGGCTTTTTTTCTTAAGTTCAACAAAACTTTGTACAAAGTGCGACCAAGCCATTTGAAAGACGTAGGGTTAAGACATGTGTGCATAGCTGAAGCATTAGCAATTCAAAAATTCAAACCGTCGTTATGCGTCTGAAAGTATTATCGTTTTTACTATATATTTACGAATGTACAACCGAAAGAATAATTTTGTCGAAAAGAAAATTTTTCCATTGTTGCAATCATTTTTGGTCTTTTTCTGTGATCAAGAATATTTGTTCCGATATTAGGAAAATAAATAAATCCTTTTACATATTACCGGGTTTTAAGGTGATAATCTTAAGGGTTATCACAATCCTGTGCCACCTTAATGAGTATAGAAAAATCATCGACATAAATAACGCAACAAAGAAGCAGCTACATTTAAGTCAATGCTGAAAATAATCATAAGTGCTGGAAACCAAAACCAAACATAAACATATGTATAGGCTATTATTGTTATTCTGCCAAAATCGATTGGGTTAAAAAGTTAATAGCAACCAGCAAGCGACATCCTGCTATCGTATAAAGATCACGTATCCAACACTCAAAACTGACAAATTTGTTTGTTGGTAAATTCTTGACTTAAATGAACGTTACTGTCTGCGCTAGCATTTCGTTTGCACCCATTTTATGAAGACAATTTACCTGTGGATAACCAAAGACGATTGGGCTTGTAGTAGGTGAGTTGGTGTTAACTAAAACGCGGAAGTACCCTAGACACCAAATACTATAGTACCACCATATTACACAAGCACAGACAGCAAACCTTAGGTCTTCTTTTATAGGTGATCACCCAATGGATAGCTGCTACCTTGACATGGTGGTCGGGGTTGCATATCATAATGACTCAAAGAGCTATGTTAGTGGAACGCTTGTTCTCTCGAAATCTTCCCCTGATAGAAAGGTCTTCTGAGCTTGGTGGTATCGTCAGCCTCATCACCAACCATCAAGAAAAATATAGAATCAAGCACTACTGCGTAACAGTCCAAGTTGCCACTCCTCATCTCATATCACCACATCAAGTAACAAGGCAATAAAATGGAAGATGAAGGAGGAAAGAAAAGTCGTTTAAAGGAAGTAGGAGTAAAAAATAGTAAGAGAGAAGAAGGAAGAATGAGAAGATTATGAGAGTAAGCATAGTGGTTAATGTGACGGTAATGTGTATATACATCTGCGCCACTGACATCGGTTCTCAGCCATATCTATCACCCACCGTCTCAAACCACTGGTTTCTCTTGTCCCATTGACCCTAACCGGCTAGTGTGCATCCACTTACATGGCTCAAACCAACAGTCAAACACTTCATACATTGATGCCATGTTTTCCCAGCCTGGACCTACTTCGGCCAACATTGTGTGACAGGGCAATCGGTGACTAGGTATACGTAACAGGTTTCCCACCGATCTCAGTCGATGAAGGTTCATAAACTCGTCAATTGATTTACCTATTCTACATGAAACTCTACACCTAACTTCTGTGTTACTCACGTAGTGAAACCACGAAATACGGCCTATGCTATGAAGGTAGTGGTGACCAAATACCTGAAGCCTTCTCATGCCCTCCACCTTTAATGGCCATGTCTCACAGCCACAGAGTAGAAGATAGTGGATTGTAGGATAGTACATTCGATCCTTAATAGACCATCGTATATCGTGGTGGTGCCACAGATGGTTTAAGTTGGCAAAAGCCAGCCGAACCTTTTGTATTCGTGCAGAGATTTCATGGGTCACTGACCAGTGACCAGTGCACCAAGGTTGGTCTGACTTCTCAGCTAAGTGAAGTGTTCAACGTGCTCAACCTCTCCACTGTCTATTGTTAGTTGGGGTACCGTTGTAGACCAGTCGTGGATCAACGATTTGGATTTGGGTGGCGAGGAACGCATCCCAAACATTCTTAAACTGCCTCTTCAAGGTGTACATAATACTCTTCATCTTATCAGAGTGTTCGCCTCACACGATTCTGTCATCTGCGTATTCTAAGTCTACCTAAAATTTTCCTGTGTGGTCAGAAGACGAGAGGGAGACCTCCATAAGAATATCTATGATAAAATTGAATAAAAATGGAGAAATTGAGTGTCTTTAACGTACACAACTTACCCAATATCTCACCATAGGCTGCAGCACGCCAACAGGTGTTTGAGTAAATAGGCTTCAAGGGGGTCATGTACTTTGTACCCGCTTCAATGAGATACTGCAATAAGACTTCTCGATTGAGGGAGTCGAATGCCACCTTCAGGTAGAGAAATACATCTAGTATCGGGCGTCGGCAAGCGTTCCAGAACTTGGAGCAGTGTAAATATTTAGTCGACACACCAGCGGTCGGGTCTAAAGCCTGCCTGGTTTTCTTGGGCTTGCTGTTTCCGAGCTCCACTCAGGCATTGAAGAACTATAAAACCTAGAATTTTAGATACTATCTTCATCGGGTTGATTTCTCTGTGGTTATCACAAGAGAACTACTCGCCTTTCTTGAAGACTGGAATAATCAGTGATTTAGACCAGTCAGAAGGGATTGTATTTGATTCCCATATACTAGTTAACACTCCCGTTAACCTGACTAAGAGCACTCTACCACCAACTTTGTGTACCTCATGAGTTAGTCCATTTGATCCTGCTGCCCTTCCTCGTTTCAAGTTACCTACAGCTTTCTCGACTTCTGCATGTACTGATGGGCCTATCTTAATGTATCATTCAGGATCCGACTAGATAGCGGGCAACGAAATGGTGGCTGGACACCAGTTAAACTGTTCGTCAGTGTTCTATCCATAGTTCCAGTCTCCCCTGAGAGTGAATCACAGACCCGTCCTTCTCCACTATAGTCTCACTAATCACTGATGACCTTTACTCCCCAGTTTCCTTAATAAGTCGAAATGACTATCTACTGTTACCAATCGCGGCTGCCTTTTCCACCTCTTTAGTCTTCGTTGCCCACCACTGTTCGTGGTCGTTGCGTAGACTTTTTCTCAATCTACTTTTAAGTTGCGCTAGCTCTTCACTGTACTTAAAGCCTGCGTGGATGTCTTCGTGTGCAGCCATTAGTTCAGAAGCTGCTGGTATCCATTGGCTCTTTATAACTACTATTGAGACTCAGCTACGGTCTTCAAGGCTGTTTTTACAGCAGACTGGAGATGGCACCAAACTTCTGGATCAGTAATAGTGTTCCGTTCCGATAACTACCAAGCTAGCTTCTCACTGAAAGCGGCCTTAATGCTCTCATTGTTGAGCTGCGGTCGTAGTGGTCTCGTTGCTAAAGTTTTTCTACGTCCACTGAGATGTAGACATACGTGCTCGAATCAATGCATGGTCGCTATACAAACACGTGCTCCAGAAGGAGCGGCAGTCTTCCGCCAACTCTTTTCAGCGGTAACTGATAGGAATGTGGTCTATCTGTGACCATCGCTGAGTTGAGCTCGGTGAACACCACGTCAGACAATGTCTTTTTTATATCTGAAGTTTGTGCTCGCTAGAAATAAACGGTTATTTGAGCACAGTTGTAGTAGGCGATCACCGTTATCTGTTCATTTATTCGGGATTCCGAAGTTTCCACCTAAATGCTTCTCTGCCTGGCTTAGACTTGTGCATCGAAATCACCTGCAACAACAACAACCACATCTAAAAGTTTGGCTTTCAGAAAAGGGTAGATAGTCTTTAGTAGAACTCATGCTTCACTTTATCCGAAATGCAGTCAATGGATGTGTAAGCAGAGATTACAAAGAGACATGAACTTAGAATGAAGCATCAGTATATGTATTTGAAAGCAAGCAAAACATATAACCACTTTTACGCTTTTCGAAAAGCTCGTATTTCAGGAAGTCACCAAAAACCAAAGTCTAAGTGAAGTCTAATCACCATTTACAACGAAAACTTAACATATTTGTTGACATCAAAATGCAGACAGAGCTGATAAAAGCGCTAGAACCTAAGAATTCTACCACCCCGGACAGACTTTAGTGACCTAGAGACCATCAATTAGAAGTGAATGGGATGTTCGCTACCTTCCAGTATGCAGATGTGCGAAAAACTTTTGTGATAAATGCAACAAGTGAAATGATGCAAAATCCACTTAGTTCTTAAGTCTTTCTATGTCAAAAACAAATATCCTTTCGACAGCTCGAGGGTTCTGGTCTCGACTGAGGAATTGAAGGTTCGTAACCAAAAGCTGACCATCACAGTTCAAGAGTTAGGTATGGAGTCTCCTTTTTCGCTTTCCTAGGTATATTAGTCTAAAATCAGGTTCTCAAACGGGAATAACCAGCTATTGGGTTGTTTTTTTCAGAGTCGATACTGAAAAGAGAACCTACTGGTTAATTTATTTGTTTCGCGAGTTAATGGGAACTGCCAACTTTTTTAATTCGAATGTTGGTATTCGGTGGTTAGAATTAAGGTCGGGGTGTGCTTCAGTGCTACGTTTTTCATTATTAAGTAGTAGCCCAGTGTAAGCTGCTTACTCCTGATTCATTTAAACGGTCAATTTAGGGACAAAGAGAGTCGGCATATACTGTCAAATGACCACTCAGTTTGACTGTTTTGCGATTTTATCT